AATGCCATATGGAACATTCTATGCCGGCAAGCAGCTCTTTCCGAGAATAGGTTTGCAGATCTGTAACCACAGAGTTAGGTTATTGCCTACACCTCAGGGAACAGGTGAGCACCGATGGAGGTAATCGCGACAACGTCCACAAGAGACCGAAATCCTCAAGTTCTGCTACTTGAAACCCGTTATACAGCATTAAGGCCACCGGTTCTGGATTAGGTGCCAAGAAGTAGTTCCTCCCAAAGTGAGAAGGGGCTTCTCAAGTGCAGGAGCCGCGACAATACCGTGACTCGAAAGTGCGCGACAAAAAAGCTGATTCCTTCCCTTGACCGCTGCGACCGCTGCCATTCTTATCAATGCAGCATACGTGGCGTCTGCGCCCTCTCGCGTATGACGTGCTATCTCGCGTTTTCCCTCTCCTCGCAGCGCTGTCTCTCCGTCATACCACGGCCGGCCTTATCAAGCGAGTTTCAGTTTTCTATGGTGCTTTAAGCTTGTTCTCAGTCACGTTCATCGTTGCACTTATTGACTACATCGTATTCAAACACAACCACACCTCAATGACATCGCAGCCCATGTCTTTAACCTGCAAGTTGCAACCACGGTCATTGGACGAGCCGCACGTCCACCAATGCCTGCTGGCTCCCTTGCCACCATACTCTTTCGTCTCCACCTGTCTTTCTCTCGCAACGCCAACCATCGTATCCTAGGCTTCCTCCCAGACACTCCTACAGTCCAGAAAAGAAGTACTTCATTCAGTGGTGTTTGTTCCATTTTCTTTAGCCTGAAGACTAATAATACCTCTCGTCTCATGTTTATAAATCACATTTGAACGTTTCTGATATCGCGGAAAGTGCCTCCAAGCAGATTTCAGTATCGCTCTGTTCACCTCGGAGCTTGTCAAAGGAAACGACGATCGCGGCAAAAATATACGGCGGAACATCGTGCGGTGAATTTACGATCTCTTATCAACAGTTTCAGCAATATGTGACGCAAAAGTTGCATTCAGGTACTGCGTCGCTTCGCAATGCCTCGTTTTCCGGGATATTCATTTGGGAGTCAGGAAACGTTTCCCAACACTCGAAACGATGGTTGCTGCCGGTGAGCCTTAAACCAATTGACAAAAGCATAAAACGATGAGCGTTCGACATTGATTAATCCCTTCTCGGTATGCGCTACGAATTCTACCTCAATTCTGAATCGTAGTACCACCTTGGACGTGATGTGACCTATTCATACAGTTATAATACTTGCGGAGGCCAACCGACATCAAAATATATTAGTCAGTGTTACCCATATCCCAAATAAGCTTTGTGCCAAATCACCAACCCCGGGAGATTGAAGGCTTGGTTGGTCTGGACGGTTGACTGGTTTGACTTCTCCCGCGTGCATAGTGTAAAAGAGGCCAGGTCACTACGCCAACATGTTCCAGTAACAGAAACCATAGAGTGTTTCTTCAGGTGAATATAGTGTCGCTTCCTTCACACGCTTATCATAAGCTTTTTCTACGACTAGCAAGTCAATGTGAACTTTTAAAGAGCGACGCCGATGTCAGCTTCGCTGAGGCGCGATTCGCTACGCGTCTGCCGGTCGCGTCACGCAGTGATTCACGTCAACTTGGCTGGTACCGGCAAGACCGACGCGAACAGGACACTAGCGAATCGGAGCGCCACCATGCGCTATAAGGCGAATCGCCGCGATTCGCAAAGTCTGGCATCGCCTAACAGGATCAAACTTGGTGGTAGAGTTTCTGCAGCAGAACCACATCCCAGTTGTGCGAAATGGCTGGCAGTAAAGAAACAAAGGGAAAGGATTCTGTCGAAGATTATCACTCAGTAGAGGCCTACCTACCTCATAATGCGGGCCGTGCCAAGGACAAGTGAGAGTCTGAAACGCGATGGGAGAGTATGTGGCGAGAGAGCGCAATGCGCAGGTGTGAGAGCGCCACACCATCAGATTGAAACATTGCAGTCTTTGCAGGCTGACTTTTGTAAGACTCGCTTCGTCCTTGTGGTGGATCTCCATCATCGGTGCAGTGCCAAGAACCCTGTGATTGTCTACTACAGTCTACTACCTCACATTCTGAGAGGATCGCTCACCTCGATTCAGGGTTTGGATCGTGCTTTTAATTATGGTGCTACAGTAAGCCGACGCAATATAGATGAAGTCGAGCGGATGGTATAAGTCGCCAAAATGCCAGGAACACTACCATTTCCGGCGTATGACTTCAAGTGTTATGGACAACTCATGACAAAAAAGCATCAGGCGCTAGCAGAGAGTGAAAGACGCCAGCAAAAAGAAATGATAAACGAACTGAGACGGTAGGGATGACAGATCCAGCACCATGTTGCTTGCGTTACTCAATCAGTTAATAAACCTTTTTTTCGCAGCTTCATCATGTAGTAACACATAGTTATTAGGAAAACTGACAGCAACAAATTTGCGGCGGTTAAAATTAACGCAACTTCTACTCAGGAAAAAAAAAACTAAATGAAGTGGGCCTTACAGCTGACTTGAATCGATGTGTTTTAGGCTTTCTCCAGAAGCATGAGCTGGAGAAGTTCAAGGAATGCAAGAGCCGATATGCTAAGTACTGGTTGCCGTTCAATTGGGCTCTCCATTTGTTGAATACAGCACTCGATGAGAAGCGTCTTGATGGGGAAATCGCAAGGAACGCCATCGCACAGGTGGAACGGAAACACATTAGTCCTTTCCTTTCCTAGGCAATAATAGATGTGACATTTCCAGGAAATCGTAGTTTCCGCACTGGCCTGTCTCTGATACTGGAGTAGACTGAGTGCCGCTGACCTGTGATTCATCCGCAGGATGATCTTCCTGCCGTGCAACTGTTTTTCATCGTTGCAATCTTCTGCGACAGTTCATCATCACATGGGCGACTGCAGCCAACTATACTGTTGTATGCGGAACTTGTAAAGATTATGTTCTTCGGCAGGCCTACTAACTCTTTTCTAGGTCGACCTCTACTTCCCAATTATGACCTCTATTGAGCTCATCTGTTACGTAGGATGGATGAAAGTAGCTATGGAGCTGTTGAATCCGTTCGGCGAAGACGATGAAGATTTTGACTGCAACTTTCTTCTGGATAGAAACCTTACCGTAAGATCTTACAATTCATTTTGGAACCTGTCCATGAAATTTCTTGAAGGTAAGAATCAGCAAAATCCAAAAATTAGGACCCTCAAAAATCTTTCACGTTTTCGCCGCAATGTGCAAAATCTAGGCGGAGTTTGACTCGGACCTCTTCCCTATACCATGAGTAGTACAAGTTATTCCACTTGCAGCCACATCTTCACCGCCCTATGGAGAAGCTTAACCTTTTAAAATGTTCCAGATCTCTTTGGCTGCGGTCGACGACGCATTCGATGATATCCCAGAAGTCAGCCCAGATATGTTTTGGCAGGACACGGTATCACCGCTTATATTCGCAAGAAATGGCAGGAAAGCACGTCAATTTCTACGTGGGGAGTGCAAACAAAGCTGAGTGAGTTTTCAAAACGCTGTTATATGCAAGTTAGAGCGCAGTTCCCAAATTGGTACAGTATGCCAATCTTCGAATTGATGTACCGGAGAGGTGTTGTGCAATGTCTTTGCAACCCATTACAGGCCTTATGCTCCCTTCTTGTTCCTGCTCTGTCATTAATTCCCAAGCACTACGGAACCTTTTGTCTCAAGCTCCTCTACAGTAGCTAATCGGAACTTCTCACGTTGGGTTGCTGGCTAACCAACTGGGTAACCTTGAACCTCGAACTCCAATTCAAAGGGGTGCGAATCGGTCATTCTAAGCTTCAAGCGGTTACTACTGAGGGGAGCAACATGTGTGGCTCACTGATTCATCGATTCCCAAGCAGCTACAAGGACGTCTTTCCACATTTCACCTGCGAATTTCCAGAACTGCAATAGGGTTGGGATGCGACTTCAGTGGAAATGAAAAAACTCTGAATAGCAGCATAAAAAATTTAGTACAAAATTATGAAAATACAAAATTTCATGGGGTGGGAGTCAAAATTAGTATATGGCGCCGAGGAAAATCCATAGCACAGACTTTTTAGGTTTTCTTCTTTCTGAAAACCATCTGTAATCTGCTCCAAAATTTGCAACTTTCGCAGAGAAAATATCAAACTTTTGAACTCAAACCGGGTAAAGAACTAAAGATTTTCCGAATTTATTTGTAGGAGATTCAATGACTTTCAAAAAAGACAACCTCAGAAACAACCGTTTGTCTCAGTGCCACTTTGCTGTTATAATGCCTGCGACCTCGCATGCTAGTCGTTGTTATGCATTCTGAGCCTATTGCAGTATCTTGCAGGCTTCCCAGTGATGTGACGGAGATCACGATGGTGCCGCATCCGCAGAATGAGAAGTTCGATCACTACATTCAGAAACCGTCACGGCGTCGACGTACTAAGCGTTGTCTCCGTCAATAGGAATCCTAAGCGCAAGTGAGTCTCGTTACAGCTTAATACATACGAAGATAGCTCGTCCAAAGTTCAACCTCGTGATTAGAGCAAACCTGGACGGTAGTAAACTAGCAAACTTGCACGTTAACGGCAGTTCAATGAGCACGTAACGTGGAGGTGCAAGTTTTTCCGATGATGGTGGAAATCGCTTCTATGGCACCTAGGAGACCTATTTATGAAACTCTGAAGAAAGCTTCCCAGGTGAGCTGCAGCTCCCTGGCAGGGTGGTTCCTTGTTACGCGCAGCCGTAAAACGCGCAAGAAGGCTCGCTGACAGAAAACGGGACGTGGAGGGGCGAAGTGCAATTTCGTTTTGGCGAGATCGTCAGCGAAGCGCCGTGTACGCAGCGCAAAAGTCCTCGCAGCGATTTGAGTCTTTTTGGGGTTGGCCAATTTCAAACTGCCGAGGTGCGTGAGTCAAAGCACGGTGTTGGAAAGGCAAAGGAGGCGCATGGCATTGATTCGTCAGTGGTGTAACGCCTGCGGTCTACGTTGGTGTTGGATCAGTCGCGGGATCAAATTCTACGAGATGTCTGAAGGTTTGTCATTCCAATAGGCATTGGATTCCACGCTGCCTCTGTGCAAAGTTGGCTGTGAATCATACAGCTTGCAGTCTAAGATTTGAAAGAATCCGTTTTGCTTAACTGTCATCTATCACCTCTTCCTGTGGGCGATCGAGTGACCTTCCATTGATGCAGTTGGCAAACCTCCCGGGCATGAACCATGTCAGGGTTTCAAGTCCTAGAAGGCGCAAGTCTGCAGACATTGTGCCGAGGCTGGTGGTTTCTAGATGGGTCATGTCCGTGTTTCTGCGCCACTTGTTCCTCGTCAGTGGGGAAAAATCACCACATTTGGTTGTATTTGGGTCTTATACTACGCCGCCGTGGATGTTTTGGTGACTATGGGCTAAGAGAGCTGACATGATGGCAGGTGTCAACTTTCGGCTACGGTACTGTAACGTAGTTTTTGAGCATATTCTTGTGACATTCGCAAGGCGAACTGCGGCCAAAACAGCAGTTAACAAACAAAAACAAGTCAAAATTCATTGCTAAAGCTTTCAGCCTCGCGGTCATTGCCGATATCGGCTAACCGGCTCAACACGTTAGACGTGTGAGTGCTGAAAGCTATGGTACGTATACCATGAAAAGCTGAGTTGGAATGAAATGGTGCCCCGGTAGCGTAACTGGTAGCGCACTTGCCCGGAAAGCGAGAGGTGCGGGTTCTAGTCCCGCCTGGGGCGAAAGTTTTGTTCACAACCCAGCATTCTTGTAAAACTACATATAACGATAGATTTTACGACTCTCTTCTCGGGATATATTCTTGCATCGAAGTTTCCCTTGATAGTGAGACCGTATCCAGCACTCGAAGCAAATGGCACGTCAATACTAAACCAGCTGTTTCGGCGGAAACCGTCTTCGTCCATGTAAGTTACCTTCTGAAATGAATCTTCTCCTGGATTGGTCTTCGACGCGTAACTATGAGCTCAGTTTCTATTTACAGGATGAGCGGTCTATTTCACAGATTACTAAAAAGGGTGCCCCCAAATCACGGTCACCTACTAACCTAGGAACTGCATTTGTATGCACTGCTTCGACTGGTGTTGCGACTTTATGGCTTCGGGTAATTTGTAGGCCGATATCATTGTGTGAGCTTGAGCCTTCGAATAAAACTTGAATTTGACAGTTGAATATTTCGTGACCATCACAGCTTTCGATGAAAGCTGACTTGTCTGTGGGTCCATAGGCCCTTCAGCCATTCTAGACCATTGCCCTTGCAAAGAAATGCATAGATGAAGTGTGACTCTTTCAGCATTGAGGAGACGGTGATCGCGAACAATAACAAGCCTCGGTCATCGATTGACATAGGCTACGGCCCGTGGAGACCCGCTCCTCAAACTGCAGCCGCTTTTACCTGTCGAAAAAGGTAAGTAGGACCCATAACCTGGTGGTGATTTCTTCCCTCTTCTTCCAGTTTCCCTCTAGCTTTTGCATGAAAAGATTATTTAAGCATGTGAAGAGGACTCAAAGAGAAACAATAGCAAATGGAGAAGCGTCAAAAGCAGGGCACCTCAAAACCGGTGAGTCATGTGTGATTGTCATCACTTCCATAAATGGATAAAACATTGGCCGTAATTAGCCCTTCTGACCTAGCTTCACTTTTTAGTTTTGAGCTAAACGTTGTGGATTTCGGATCGTGGCCCCTAAAATAACATGGCGAGGCCAGCCTCCTGCAACCATGTCGGTGATTTCCTCTCTAACTGGTGTGCTCGATAAGAGACGCCACCCGAAGCTTTAGGTTTAAGGAAGGTTTAATGTTTGATGTTTGAATTATGAGTGTAATCTGTGTGAACAGTTGCGCTTTGTTAACGTGGCATGGGCTTAGGGCAAGGATAAGAAGTGGCAAATGTGATATATGTGATTTAGGATCTGATTTAAGAGCACTATGCACGCGCGAGTAGCCATGTTTCTGACAAGTGAACCCTATAAAGGTTTCCTCTTCAAGCGTGGGATTCCACCAAGAACGAAGGTCAAAGAGGGACAAACAGCCTAGTGTGGAGAGAGGCGAAAACTCTCGAGGGAGTACATCCGACGCGCAGTTTGACATCCCCCCGACCGCAGGTGGGCGCGGGGGGTGGGGGGCGGGTGGACGGCGTAAGTGAGGCCGTCCAGCGAAGATATTACCGTCGGTATCCAGCATGGTTCACACTTGGCCGCAGTTGGCAACTAGTCCGACATCGCAGAGAAACGCGATTTAGCGTGTGAAGAGGGCACAGCGATGAGAGTCGCATCAATGCTCAAATCAACGGGCAAGGAAGGGGTCCCATTTCTCGGGTTCTGGGCCGTTTCTCATGGTTTTTCCTTCTTTAGTGTACCACTCACCATCCTAGGTTAATTCGAAATGGGTTGCCTTTCCAGCGCAAATTCCGCCTTCAAAGCATAGATTACTATGAAAAGGCAGCCCAGTAGAAATCAAGGTAGAGGTGGTCAGTGGTGCAGGGATGAAGAAAAACCATGGAAATTTCCCAGGAACCGAAAATGGGACCCCTTTTTGCCGTTGATTTCCGCATTGATGCGACTCTCATCGGTGCTGCCCTCTTCAACGCTAGCACTCTCTCTGCTAATCTGCCAGAGCCTCGGTCAAAGAGAGGTGGCGTGCCGCGGTGCCTGGGGCGCGGTCATGCTAGATCGTCGCGCATCCTCCGCTGTGAATGGTTTGTCTGCACGCACCCTCAAGAAGTCCGCCTTTCCACTCGGTCAATTCCCCTTCCTCGGCCTCCAGCTTTATCGTGTAAAAATGCTCTTTTGAACAGAGTTTCGACTAAGCCAACAAACTCGTCCATCTCTCGCTTAGTTAGTTGCTGCCAGACTCCTCTGGGTGATGAAAGCACTAACTTGCTGACGTGGGAGTGGTGTAAGCCATGGTAAATACACCGTCAAAAGGTGAGTTAGGTCGAACTGATGCCCCAGTAGTGTCAAAGTTAGTAAAATTGCCTACTAAGCAACGCGTGGTCGAATCCCGTATCTATGGGCCAAGGTTTTGCTCATGACTTAGCATTCTAGTAAAACTTGCACAACGCAAACTGCGGCGGTAAAACAGCACTTAACAAACAAAAAAGACAAAATTAGTGAATTTTGCATCGACCTCGTACCCTAGTTCTGATACACATGTGAAAATAATCGTGGTCCTAATATAAATTTAAGTCGAGTGCGTGGCGCAAATCAAAAGACCTCGGGATTATTCGGCGTGAAATGACTTTTTCTGCATCTGAGAGCTTTCTTTCTACTTTTTCATACTCTGTAATATCACCATGTTTTCAGGAAATGTTAAAGATCACATAAGTCGCACGAAATCATTCAACCATGGCGACTAAAAATATCTTATCGATAATCACAGTTGTTCATTCTTGACTCAATGTCGGTCCTATAACCGACTCTCTGTGAATACAGTAAGTGCTAGTGAGAGAAACCGATGTCTT